TGTGCCTATTAATATTAGGAACTATTAGTAATCGCTAATTTTATTACAGGAGAATGGAGGAACACTTGCATAGAGTGGAGCAGCAGTTATACCGAATGGAGAAACACTTTCATAGACTGGAGACTGACATAAGGTATCTCATGTACTTGTTATTTTATATAACACCATACAACGCGCGTATCGTGCGCGCCATTTGGCTTTTGCACAATATTATTTTGGTAATTATTTAGAATACCCTTCCTTACCTTCCATTTTTATGAAAATAGGTTCACTCGACGCGTTTTTACATAAAATAGAAGAATCTAGCCGAAAAAAGTGTCGCTCTGCCTCGCGAAGCGAAATATTTAGCGTTAAAGTTAGTCACATTTGAAGTTAAGAAATCTGTCATATGAACGTTAAGCGAACTAGGCTTGCATTGAAATGCGTTGTAAAACGCAATTTTTTATATAAAATAAAAGAATCTGGCCGAAAAAAGTGTCGCTGTGCCTCGCGAAGCGAGATATTTAGCGTATGCGTCAAGTAGGCAATCGTATGCGTCCATGTTTGTGCTGGGACACATACTTTACGCATACGCTAAATATCTCGCTTCGCGAGGCAGAGCAACACTTTTCGGGCACATTCTTCTATTTTATGCAAAAAATTGCGTTCTACAACGCATTTCAGTACAAGTCTAGTTCGCATAACGTTCATATGACAGATTTCTTAACCTCGAATGTGACTAACTTTAACGCTAAATATTTCGCTTCGCGAGGCAGAGCGACACTTGTTTCAGCCAGATTCTTCTACTTTATATAAAAACGCGTTGAATGAACGTGTTTATTTATAATATTTTCATCAAAATGGGAGGTGAGGAGGGGCCTTCTATATAATATTACGTTATTTTTATAATCGTGCACACACAATTCACATGCACAGAGCAACCTGATATGTTACAGGCTGCGTTCCATTTAACGCTTATGAGCACATATGAACGCATTTATCTATACCCAGTTAGCAACATGTTTACAAAAGGGCACTTCAAGAACTCATGCTCATCGATTTTTACTGAGTAGTAAACGTAACATGAACTATAGACATTGCACGCATAAGCGCTCATAAGGTTTGTTCGAGTTGCTTGTACTTTTCACACTTTTACACCTAATGCCCGTTGCACACTAATGCACCCCAAACAACACAAATTCTAAAAAAAAAACATTCTGAGGACATTTTTAGGACAGAGGAATGTTCTCAGAATATTTGTAGGAGTTCCTTTGAAGGTGTCCAATCAAGAAAAGATATTTACAAACATATTAAAAAAAAAATTTTTTAAATCATTGTTAAAATGTTAAAAATAATGAGATAAGTTCACTCTTTTTTCTTTTAAAAACGTTTTTTCAACGTCTAGGTATAGCTTCCGGAATGGAGCCGTGTTTTGAATCAGCGATATGCCGACGTTTCGCAAACGTTGCAGTTTGCATCATCAGGGCTGAGAACTCTGATACTGAGCTCCCTTGGGTAAAGGTAGTCCTTATATGCCCCCCTCCCCCCTCCTTTGTGTAGATGGTGTTTAGGAAGTAGGGGACGAGGCTTGAATCCAGCCAATCAGCGTATTTTAATTGATCAGCTGGTCAATTAAAAAACCGGGAGGGCAGTATGCCAAATAGAGTTTACTTGCATACCTTTGTCTTGGTTGAGGTTGTTGGGATGTTTCAAAATTTCTAGACCTTCACGATGTTTTCTGGCAAAATAACTCTGTGAGGGAGCCAATCTGGTGGCTTTTTCATATTGTACGGAGTGTCCAGTCTCCATCCAGTGTTCAGCTAGGGCTGAT